TGTTTATTAAGGTTATTTCTGACCCGGTGTCTATCAAAATCTTTATTGGTCTATTGTTAATGAAACCATCTACAAATTTTAAATTAACTCCTCTTCTTTCCTCATTATTTCCTGCCAATTTAATGAATTCCTTCGGGTGACAAAAAATTCCTGCCTGGTTTTTTGTTCTTAGTGGGTGCTTTCGTGAAAAACCGACTGTTGTTCTTCCGTATTTCTTCTCTCATCTCTATTTCTTTCATCCTCATTTTCTTCTATTTGTGTATGATTTACCTCTCTTCTATTTTCTTTTGGTCTGTCATATCCGTTTCGGTTTCCACGATATTCCTGTTCATTTCGTCTATTGTAATTTCTGTTTTCTGGATATGTGCGGGTGTTATTTCTGTTTTGATTTTCTCGATATCTGTCTTCATTCCATGGCCGATTTCTGAAATCATCATTTCCTCTTCTATTTTCCCGATTCTCGTTTTCCCTCCTGGGAATAAATTCTCGTCTAGTGTAATCCCTCCTAAAATTTTGTCCTCTCTCTCTGTATTCCTGAGTTTCTCGATGTCTATAATTCTCTTGTGACCTTCTTGCTCTTCTTTCCTGTATCCGTGATGCCCTTATTTGTAGGAATTGGCATAAACTATCGATATCTTTGTAGTTTTGTAAATTTATGTGGTCTTCCATTGTGTCTTCAAAGTGTCTTGCAATCAACTCGACTAATTGCTCAGATGAATAATTGTATTGCAGATGTTTTGCGTTATTGTACATTTGCAATGCGTATGTTTTTTCTGATATACCCATCTTCTCATGGTATTTCCCATTTTGCAATTCCTTATTTATCTGTAATTGCTCTGTCTTTCCCCAGAAAAAACTCAGAAATTTGTTTTCAAATTCTTGCCAATTTTCAAATTCCTCCACTTTGCTGTCAAACCATAGACTTGCCTCATCTTTGAGATGATTTCTGATAACTTCCTTAGCTGTCTCAAAATTTCCCATGTATTGTATCTTCTTCTTTAGATTATTCATGAACGGTACGGGGTGTAGTTTTCTTACATCCCCGCCAAACTGTATTTTTATTTCGCCGGAATTCTGGATAACTATTTCTCTTGTTTCTCCGACTCTATTTTGGTGTCTTATTTCCTTAATTAAATTTTCATTCCGTTTCAATCTTATTTCTATTTCTTCCTTATCTTCTTGCAGAGCGTTTTCAAACTTTGTTTCTAACTCTTCTAATTCCTTTTCCATTTTGTTTTTCATTTTTTTAATTTCCACCTCTTGTTCTGCCATTTCTTTTTTAACATTCTCTAAGCAACTTTTAATTTCTTTTATCACTTGTTGTGTTTCCTGTCGGTTTTTTTCTATTGCTTGTTTCGTTTCACGTTGATTTTCTTCCATTCTCTTGTGAGTTTCTCTTTGATTCTGTTCCATTGTTTTATCCACTTTATCCATTTTTTGCATCATTATTTGTAACATTTTCTCTATTCCTGACAATTCCTGTTGTTCTGATGCCATGATTGTTGTTTCAAAAATGTCTTCTTGTTCTATATGTTCTTCTTGTTTTTTGTTTTCTTTGCTTTTGCTTCTCGTGATCGACATGTAGTTCAAATTTATCCCCGCCTGATATGAAACTCTTAAATTTGTGCAATAATATCCCCGCCAAATATGAAATTCGAGTAATGTTGCAAAGACGAAAAAATTTTTCTCTTATCCCAAATGCAATAAATTTAAATAAATGCAATAAAATTTAAAACTTTTGTCAATTGTAAAAATCACTCAAATATAATAAAATATATCATGCAAAACTTGTACCTAGAGAAATTTGAAATGTTATGTCATAAAATGCAGTTATTATAAACTTTGACCATCGGAAATAAATTCTCAATCAACCTGCTTTCTTTCCCTATCCTTTTAAATTCCAACTAGAAATACTTTCTAAGCTTCACACGTTTGGGCGACAGTTGTTATGATTTTGTATTTTTGATTTTAATTTATTTACTTGAAACAATCACAAAAATATACTTTCTCGTTATCAATGTCCTAAAAATAAACTTCTGATATTTCTTATGTTCAGTGAGTTCAAAGTTTTCTAGTTGTATTTATCGGGATAGGAAAAACAAAGGATAATAATAAAAAGTATAATACATGAAATACAGATATTTTTTATTTTATAAAAAAAAACAATTATTAAATTTGCCGTTATCTTTTCAATCAGCGAATATGCATGTAATGAAATTAATACAAAAAGAAAATTTTAATTCTTATTTTCTTCTTGAGACAAAACAATTTGAAACTAATTTAAATTTGGATACCTTTATAAACTTTTATCTTCCTTATATTTAAAAAATCTATTTTATTATGGAAACAAAACTTTAAAACATTTGATAAATGTAAAAAGGTCTAATCATGCTTTAAACTGGTAACAACAATGAGGTAAACAAATCGCATTTAAGATTTACACACCTTTCAACTTGAAAAAAGGAAAATATCTGACCTTTCTTCCCTGGATTGTTTTAGGACCACACAAAGAATTGTCCACATTCCACAGCAATGTGTTCTTCCACCTTGCGCCTCGGCTTCTTGTTTCAGTATCTGCTCCTTCAGCCAATTTAACTGACTTAATTTAACCTCCTGACTCAATTCTCCAACACTTAACACACGAAAATCACTTCTTCAAACATTCATATAACTTCTTCGTGACCCAAGGATCTCTTTTCTCACCTGGTGCCACAACTATTTAACACGTATTCCAGAAACTGCACACTTTAGATTCAAGGATTTCTTTACATCGACTTGCAATCTACTTCTTCCACAATTCTGCTAACAAGACTGGTAACTTTATCCACTTAACAATGCCGGCCTACAACTCACGAACACACCGCCTGTCGAGACGCAACCTTTCTTTTCGATCACTCAAACATCACTGTCTTCTCGAACCAACAAAAACTCTATCAACCCTCGGTCTGTCGATTTCCCCTTCCAAAAAGATCGTCTCATCACAAAATCCAAATTTGTTTACCACACTTGTTGGAATGCTAATTACCGTTTTCAAGCAAGGAACTTTAATCTTTTAACAATGGTCATTTCCTTGTAAACAAATAATTTTTATACATTTCAAAGATTTTTGCCTTAGTCATAATAGAAGATTTATACAACACAATACCGGACTAATCCTTCAGGTAACAGCTTATTTTCTATAATGTACAAATGGTTTGTCAATAACTCGTTTAGAATGGCTTAGTTCTTTATAAGTCATAAAATTTCGGTACTAATCTATCTATTTACAAATATACAAACTTTCTATCTTAAAATTAATACATATTTTGTCTTCAGATTTCTTAAAAACTTACTTCCGATGGATTCCTTAATTATTTTTGTTCCTTCCGCGTTTGTGGAAGAAGAAGTATAATAATATATATATATATATATATATAATATATATATATATATATATAATATATATATATATATATATATATATATATATAATATATATATATATATAAATTCCAGTTTTTTTTTATTTTAATCTCACTGAAAGTATGTTCACTTAGATACTACGGTGTTGAATGGGCTGCATAACTATTGGGTACATAGTTACGTAGAAAATAGTATAAATTTTTCTTAGAATTTTCAAAAATTTACAGATGATAGTAGAATGTGCTCAAAATCTGGAGTAACTAATTGTTTTCCATTTGTTTTTGTATTTGTTTTTTTACTTAAAACATATATTTGTGGTCAGTTTATTTAAAATTTGCACTAGTGGCGTCAGTTCGGAAGGGCCGGTATGGCAAAAGACGTCACACCCCGCGAGGGTAACGAATTTCATATAATTTAGCTGTAATACACACCCATAAATATTTAAGAAATAAGTTGAAAGAAGCAAGATCCATAACTTGGGAGAAAAATAGGCCTTTACACGTGGTTGGCACGTCATCATCATAAACAATCACCAGTTAAAACACCAGAAACTACGAGTATAGGACGTGCTATTGCATTTAATAAATATACCGTTTGGCTATTTTTTAACAATTTAAAGACTATTATGAAAAAGGAATCGATTGTACCTGATTGTATATTTAAAGCAGATGAAACGGGAGATGAAAAGCGAGAAAACGACAGAAGCATTTATGCACTTTAAGTGTGCCTGGTAACACTATTTTCCCATTTTTAATTTATCTGAGGGTTAAGATCCAGGATCATATGACGAGAGCTTCCAATTGGTGCTAATGCTGCTGTTTACCCATCAGGATGGATGACTCATGAAAATTTCGAAAAATATTTACTTCACGTTATCAGATATTCCCGAGTCGATATGAATCAAAATTGTCTGCTATACTAGATAACCATAATAGGCATATGTCGCCAAAAGGGCTTAACATCTGTAAAAACAATGGAATAATACTGCTGTCCATTCCACCTCTTACTAGCCATAAGTGAGAGCTCTTGGATACCAACGTTTATGGGCCCTTTAAAAGATTTTACAATGAAGCAGCTGATAGCTGGATGGTTAACAATTCTGCACAGCTGATTTCCTTAAAAGAAATACCTGAACATGTGGGAAGTGCTTACGCTCGCGCTTTTACACCTGGCAATATCATAGGTAGGTTTTTATTTATTGATATTTATCCATATAATCCAGCTATATTTGCAGATGGTGATTTTACCAGTGCGGAAATTACAGACCGGCCAGATCTATCTCAAGCTTTACAGGCTCCAGAAAATTTACTTTTGGCTGCCCCTCATACTTCCTAAAATAATCCAAATGCATTAATAAGCCTTAAAGTTGTTATAAGGCCATTTTCAAAAGCTCTTCTACGTAAAAAGAAAGCTGGAAGTAAATGTGAGAAAACAGGGATTTTAACGGACACCCCCGGAAAAGACTAAATAGACAAATGATTTAAAGAAAAAGCTAGAAAAAGGAAAAGCAAAATAAAAAAAGAAAGGGTGGAAAGATTAAAAAAATGGCATTAGAAGATAAAAACAGATGTCACTTAAACAAAATAAAATTGAGATAGTCACGAACGACTCTGAACAATCTGACGATTCTTTCGAGTTCTGGTAAGTTAACTGATATCAAGGAACAGATTGAACAAGAAAATCCTGAAGAAAGCTATATGAATCAAGAAGTTTGTAAGAATGATTACGTACTTGTACGATTTTCTACCAAAAAGACTTCCGACATCACATTGCCAAAGTCATAAATATTAATGGCAACGATTACGACTTGTTGTGCATGAGAATAAAGCCTCTGGGATAGAAATTTGTTTTTCCATGTTGCAGATGAATGTTGTGCATCTAGGGACGATCTTAAGTTACCAATCCCTTCCTTTACTGGAGGAACAGCTAGAACACATAGGACCCTTTCTGTTCCAGTTAAACTTTCTAGATATGAAAATTTAGTCTAATTAAATACTTACTTTTTTTGGCATATTTTTAAAATTTTGTATTTTTTTGTTAATTATATAATAAGGATTACAACAAGTAAATTGTTTAATTAGATTACAAGAGACTTGCAGGAGACTGTCCAGTGACAATAACCTATTAAATCATAATTTTAGTAACAAAATTATTTGTGACTCTAATATAATGTTTATAATAATTAAAAAATAATAATTTTTAAATTTAAAAATTTAAAACCTTGTTGGTAGATTTCTTGGAGTAAAACGCTTTAGCCTTGTGTTTGCCTGGGGCTTCATAAGGTTCTTCGCTAGCCTGTTGGGGTGGTTTTGCCGACGTCCGTAATATTTTTGGGAGTAACTGGCAATTTCTTCTTTAACAGTTTTCTGATGAATTCATTAGGCATGTACCACGGTGCATTTGTGATAATGCGGAAGATCTTCGATTGAAATCTCTCCAGTATATCGATATTGAACTTTGACGCAGATCCCCACAGTTGGATTCCATAGCTCCATATTGGATTTATTACTGACTTGTATATTAGGATTTTTTCCTATTAGTCAGTGCATTTTACTGAGTTTCAGTCCCAACTCTTTCCTGCTCATGAATATGTATTTCTTCCACGTTAATCTGTGGTCCAGGTGCTTACCTAAGTACTGTACATTATCCTTTTGTTGCAGTATTTGGATATTTAATGAGACGGTTGGGCATGTACCTTTTCGATTAGTAAACGTTATATGTACTGACTTGCTTTCATTAACTTTAATTCGCTATGTTTGTAACCAAATCTTTTTTTTTTTTTGTCGAAATTGGTCTGGAGCAGTTGTGAGGCAATATACAAGTTTGAGTGAGCCCCAAGAATTGCTGTGTCATCTGCATATGTTTCTGTGACAATGTTTTGACTTGTAGAAATATCTGCTGTATAAATTAAGTAAAGAACAGGTCCAATGACACTACCCTTGGGTACTTCAGCTTTAATTGGATAAAGTTAGTGCACTGATCCTTTACTTTAACAAGGAAATGCCGGTCGGAAAGATAGGAATTGAGGATTAAAAAGTAGTTGAGAGGAAGGACTTGTCTCATTTTGTATAGCAGACCAGTGTGCCAGACTTTATCAAAAGCCTGCGAGATATCCAAAAAGGCTCTAGAACAGTGTTTCTTCTCTTTTAAGGGTTTGTTTATGGAATTGCAGATTCGGTGAATTTGCTCAATGGTAGCATGCTGTTGTCTAAATCCAAACTGGTGGTTGGATATTAGCTGCTGTTGTACTAGGATTGGCTGTAATTTGTCTTGTAGTAGTTTTTCAAAAACCTTTGACATCACTGAAAGTAGACTGATAGGTCTATAGGACTTAACTTCTATTACAGGTTTACCTGGTTTGGGTATTAAAATGATTCATGGTGTAGCTTGGTTTAATCTATTTTTATCCTGAGGTGTTAGGGTTTTTTGCCAGATTTTCCTTAGTCTACGTTTTTCTGCAATTTTTTTCTTTTATTTCGTTGGGTAAGTAGTTTTATACGATTGCTTTTGTTTGTGTATGTGTTGACTGCCAACCCGCTTCCCGAATTATCCTATTTAATTGATCTACTGCTTCGTCAATATCGCCATCAGATTTTAGTGGGGTGTTTAGATCCAGTCTGCCATCAAGTATAGCCCGGAATTTACTTCAATTAGTATATTTATTACTAAGAATGGCTAAAATTCTGTTTCTAGGATATTTGTGGATATCGTGACCAAGACAGGAGAGTGGTCAGATGAAAGATCAAAACAATATTGTGATGTCTGGGATTCGAGTGGTATTCCTTTGGTCACACAGAAATCGACCAAGTCTGGAATTTTGTTTGTGTCTGTGGTCCAGTATGTGGGTTTGCCAGTGGATATGTATTTAAGGTTTTTGGTTCCCCTTGAGATATATAATTGCCTACCTTGCGGGGTTATTAACCTGGATCCGAGTGAGTGTGTTTTACGTTATAAACGCCGCCTGCTAAAAATCTGTTTCCAAGGGTGTTGAAGAATTCTTGGTATTGATTTTTGGCTATGGTATATCGTGGTGGACTGTATATTGCAGTTATTGTTAAATGACCGTTCCAGTGTTCTATGTCAATACTTGTTGCTTGTATATAGTCTTTTTTAAACTTATTTAAATTATGGTGTTTTATCGATGACTTGTTCAGAGCAGCTGCCTCGAAGGTCAGAATAGCCATGATGATTGCCAACTTCCGTCGCGGAGATTGCATTTAAAGAAGAAATCAATGACTTGATTATGATTGCAGTTGCTCCATGTGCAGTGCCATCTGGATGTCCGGTGTTATATATTACATAGTTGGGAATTTCCAGATAACTTCTATTTGTAAAGTGTGTTTCAGAGATTAACATTATGTCGATGTTGTGTAGTAATATAAAAGCTTTAACCTCTTGAGTATGATTTGTTAGCCCCACTACTCTTGTCTCAATCCTTCCTTTGCTTGCCTCAAACCTCCTTTTGCTTGCCTCAAGCCTCCCTTCATAAAGGAGGTTTGAGACAAGTGCATGTTGTACTTAAATCATTTATTTTTTGCTTAAGTAATAATTTTTAAAATAATCATACTATAACGTTAAAAAACTAAATCCTATAGTTAGTCAATATTTAAAAAACTTGATGCAATTACTAAAGCAATGCAGAAAATCAGGTCGCTAAAAAAGTGGCTCAACCCTGCCCAGTGTCCCCTAACCCTAATGGGTTTATTGCATAATCTGAATTGTTGTATCAACACGTCCGTTAATTAACTAATATATTATTAATAATAACATAATGCTGTTTATATACTAGCCAATTGATTATGTTATTTAATTTTTAGCTCGTGTATTTAAATTCATAATTTGTTCTCTGTTCATCATATCCTGTCAATCTCAACTTTTCAAATAAAAGGTAAAATGTTAATATTGTACTTCGGCTCACATGCTCACGTCTAAATTTAAAACATAAAGTTCAAATTATTCGCCTGCTTGAAATTCTCAAATCCCTACAGGGAAACTGGAGATCGAAAACAAGACACGCCTTAACTCTGATATAATTTTAAAATGTTTCTGGTAGGTATTTCAATTAGCATAAAAGAGATATAGACAGTAAGCGATATTACTAAAAGGAAAATGGAAGAGTTATGCAATTATGAGTCTGCAAGATTAAACATCTAAGAAGATTGAAGTTGTAATTGCCTAGAAATGTTGGAAGGAATGGAGGAAGATGTGGAGCTTAACGTCTTATTACTAAGCGGCAATTTCCATTCCATTTCGGGTATATTATAATTATTCCCCAGAAGTTGGGATTAGTTTATTGATTGGAGCAGGTGAAGCGTCCGAATCTAAGAGGATTGGGTTGAAAAAATTTTATGGTTCGAATAAAAATTATATTTAATAATACCGACAATATTTTTTGCTTTCTTTTTATTTATGGCATCGTTCGTTAAAAGATTTTTGCTGCAGCTTTGCTCCAAATCCGGACTTATAAAATTTTTTTATCGGAAGTAAAAAAGGTAAATATACACATATTGGAAAATGTAAAGGTGTAATTTATTTAACAAAGGGATTATTTAGTGACATATTTTGTTTTTAATCCTTGGATGTCTGGTGGACTTACTTGTATTAAAGTATTTTGGGAAATAAAAAATAAATTTTTAAAGGAACTTTATTACATATTACATTAATTTATTATTTTAATTATAATTAAATACTATCGGCTCATGAGATCAATACACAAGGATCACCTGAAATTTTTTACAATTAGTTAATTTGATAATAACACGCCAATTCGCAAAACTGCCCAATAATTTCTGTAACCCAATACAATCAGAATGGTCTAGAATAATACCAAATAATTTTATGTCATGTGCCAAGATATTTTATGTCATATGCTAAGGCTTTAGTCACTCAATGATGTGATAGCAGCATCAACAAAAACTTCAAAGAGAAGAGGTTGTACCAAGTTGGTATTTCGGACCACTCCAGAGGAAAGTATTCAGTTAATCATTCAAGTAAAATCCTTTTAAAATTATCCTTTCTACAACAGGATATTATCCACAGGTTCCTGACCACACTATCTTTAGGAAACGTATAAAACTTTAAGGTTTTATCTTTATTGTCACTATTACAAGTAGCAACTGGACAGCGCATTTTGAAATAGTTACAAAATTTCACAAAAACAAACAGATACACGAAAGCAAATAAACGAGTAAATGTTCTTAAATCAGTCTATACAGACTATAACACATATATACTATCCAAAAAAAGAATAATATCGCTAAAAACAGATGAACAATACGAGTTTTGCAAAAAAATCCACTACACAATATATAATACAATTACAAATAATGGCTCACAGGGACCTTTGCTACGTCACACCCGCTTGATCTCAGCTGTCAAAAGTGTCAAATGTCATGCGCAAGATTCTACCATGAGAGTTTATTGTACCATGGTGACAGAGTATATACCCCCCTAGTAAAGTAACTCCCATAGAAAGTTTTAGGAGAGAGTTTCTAGTGCCAAATATGGACGGGCCGAAACTTATTTCAATTGGCGGCAAATTCAAAACGTATGTTCTGAATTTTAGGCGGCAAATTAAAAAAATATGCTCTGAATTTTAGGCGCAAAAATTCTAAATGTACGCTTTTAATGGAAAGTAAATAGTCATGAAATAAGAAATAAAAACTTATTCTGTGCCAAAAAATATATTCTCTCTGTCCAAAAATATAGTATACACTTTTATATATAAATGTATAACATAATATCTGATACACAGAGAGTCTATATTTTGGTACAGGAAAGTTTT